GGACGGTGGGTGGGGACATGTATTATTTGATGTATGTAAATATTATGTTGATTAAGGACATGTATGATGGAGTAAAGACCCGAGTGAGGATAGTGGGTGGGGACTCGGACAATTTTCAGGTTGTGATGGGGTTGCATCAGGGGTCGGCACTCAGCCCTTTTTTGTTTGCTCTAGTGATGGACGTACTGACGCGCCACATCCAAGGGGAAATGCCGTGGTGCATGCTATTTGCAGATGATATTGTATTGATTGACGAGACGCGAGACGGTGTGAACACGCAATTATAGGTGTGAAGGTAAACCCTGGAATCTAAAGGTTTCAAGTTGAGCAGGACCAAGACGGAATACTTGGAGTGTAAGTTCAGTGGCGAGACTCAAGGAGGGGAAGGGGAGGTGAGGTTGGACTCGCAGGTCATCCCTAGGAGAGGGAGTTTTAAGTACCTTGGGTCTATCATTCAGGGGGATGGGGAGATTGATGAAGATGTCACCCATCGTATTGGGGCGGGATGGGTGAAACGGAGACTCACTTCCGGTGTTTTGTGTGACAAGAAGGTGCCACCTAAACTTAAGGGTAAGCTCTACAGAGTGGTGGTCAGACCAACGATGTTGTATGAGGCTGAGTGTTGGCCAATCAAGAGTGCTCATATCCAGAAGATGAAGGTAGCAGAGATGAGGATGTTGAGATGGATGTGCGGGCACACTAGGTTAGATAGGATCAGAAATGAGGTTATTCGCGACAAGGTGGTTGTGGCCCCTATTGAGGACAAGATGCGGGAAGCGCAGTTTAGGTAGTTTGGTCATGGGAGAAGGAGGAGCACAGACGCCCCGGTGAGGAGGTGTGAGAGGTTGACATTGGAGGGCCTACGAAGAGGTAGAGGTAGCCAAAGAAGAGGTGGGAGAGGTGATTAGGCAAGACATGGCGCTGTTTCATCTGACCGATGACATGACCTTTGATAAGAATGTATGGAGGTTCGGGATTAGGGTAATAGAGTAGGTAGTCTAGAGCGGTCATAACAGTAGTATGGGCACGCAGTCTCGCTTTCTGTTGGTAGTAGGTTTTTATGATTAACCATAGTTTTCTTTCATTATTGATCACCTTACTGTCTTGTTTTTATTCTGCTTTTATATGGCTTTTTAGTACTGTCCCTTCTTGTCTTTATTTTCATTAATGTGGTGTTTATGCTTTTATTGAAAATAGCCTCTCTATCCTCACAAGATAGGGATAAAGTCTGCGTACACATTACCTTCCCCAGATCTCATGGTGTGGGATAATACTAGTATGTTGTTGTTGTTGTTGCTGCTGCGTAACAACAACAACAACAAACACAGGCAATTCCAATATACCACCACCACTTCCAAACATCTCTTTCAAAATTCAAGACAAGAAGATAAACATCAAAGACACTCAATCTACTCGATACAAGAAGCTTCCTACATTACAATGCTCTAGTCTTACAAGCAACGAGAGAGAATTATTTACTGTGAGTTACCTGTCATAATTCACATCATGTAGTCAATAATAAAAAGTCGATTTTGTACGTATTGTATGAAAACTTTGCACAACTGGGATGAAATTCTGGAAGAAAACCAACTCCTGGGTAAGAGCTCCATAAACATTCCTAACTTTGGATCCATTATATATTAAGTTAATTTGGTTTTTTGACTGCAACTATGCTAAGTTTGGTATAAACCTCAAAGTGACCAGCTGATCACGATAATACTAGGTTAAGGCAAAAATGACACGACCAGTTACTTTGTGGTGAAATTGTTGAATTGGTTCTAGACCATTGAACTTCAAAATCCACAGTTAAAGAGGGAAATTGGCTATCACTAATATAATATTGGACGAAAAGTTCGTCTTCTTTTCTATCCTTTTTTTGGTTAGGATCAGAATGGAAAAAAAAAAAAAAAAAAGACGGAAAATAAAGATGGTAACTTTTCTTAGGCAATGGATTGAGCTAACTTTATCTTGATCTCTGAATTTAATCAGGGAAGTTGATTAAATGAAGTAAAGAAGACTGATTTATCTGCCCATCAATTTTAGAGGAATGTTGGAGTGGCAAAAGGATTTGGTGCTCCTTTTTTCTTTTCATTTTTTAAGGATTTGGTGGTAGAATAATTATTTTAATTATTTGTGCTGTGAAATTTAGAGCCCGTTTGGATTGGCTTATTTTAAGTGCTTTTAAGCCAAAATAGCTTTTAAGTCAATTTGTAGTGTTTGGATAAAGTAAAAAAAGTGCTTTTAAGCACTTGTTTTTAAGCTAAAATGACAAAAACAAACTAAAAGCCAAAAGCTAGAAATCCTAACTTATGGCTTAAAAACTATTTTGGCTTAAAAGCTACTTAAAATAAGTCCATCCAAAGGGGCTCTTATTCTGATTAGACAGGGTTCAGGTACCATAATCCACATTCTTAACATCCCTCCTACCCAACTTGGCAACTTCCCCTAACACAAGTTTCTCTACGTGGTTATACAATTTAGTATTAATATTTCCTTTAAAAAAATTATTTGGCATCCTAAACTCATTAATCCAACTAATTTGGATTCGCGCCTGGCAAGTCAAACTTAGGGATTAAGCGTTTACTACCGGATTATTCTTTATATCCAAACTTTGTACCTGAAACCGTAATTAAGGATAAAAAAATCCCAATCATTCAATTACATCCCTTGGTAGTACTAGTATCTTCAACTTCCCATTAGTAAAGACATGAAGCAGTGGCGGTGCAGCTTATAGGCACTAGAGTTCATTTAAACTATTTCCAATGTGAAGCATATACTTTCTTCGGTCTACTTTAATTAATTTTTTAATTATTTATGTAGCTTACAATATTTGATTTTTTTATTATATCAAAAAGGAATTGTGACTTCTTTTTTTCAAAGTTATTCTTGGAGTAAAGAGCTTATGAGTATTTGTTATATTTTCAATAAAAAATAGTTAAAAATATCCCTAAATTATTGGAAAAGGTTTTAAAATACTCTTCATCCATTTATTGGGCTAAAAATACCCTTTGATCCACCCTTTTGATTCACTTTATGCATTTTGACCGTTAGTCAATGCTGAATTAAAAATAATAATTATTTAATTTCCACGTGTTCTTACAAAATTAAAACATCTAACCCATTAGAAAGACCCACCCATATTTAACAGTTTTTCATACTAACCCGCTCAAACACTAGCCCGACCCGAACAAAAAGTTCAACTAAAAAAAGAGGCTCCACTTCTATCAAACTCCATGGAAGTTGCAGTGAACATATATATGCAAATTTACTACGTGGTTTTCTTTTTCTTGTATGGCATCTAGTTCAATTTACATGATAGACACAAATTGCATTATATTCAAGATGAGTTTAATTTAATCATTTTCATATGACGGAAAGATCTCAAAGTGATTGTTTGGAAGATATCATAAATCGTTGGACTACCCCTAGTATTCTGTCCCACATTATTGTAAAAAAAAATCATTGGCTCATTCATGCAAGGTTTTTCTGGTTTGTTTAATTTGCTCATGAACCTTTATTCAATGATAATGCTATACACGAGATTAATCAATAAAATGAACACATGTAAATCCATGAGTTAGATGGAAGTAGAACGTCTTTTTTTTATTTGAACTTTTTATTCGGGTCAGGTAAGTGTTTGGGGCTGGTTAGTCCGAAAAATGGGTAGATATGGGTGGGTCTTTTTAATAGGTTAGATATTTTAATTTCGACCAATAAGAAGTTGCCATGTGAAATTTAAATAATTATTTTTTAAATTCAGCATTGATCTAACGGTCAAAGGACAAAAGTGAACCAAAAAGCTGGATGGAGAAGTATTTTTAGCCCAATAGGTGGATGGAGGATATTCTTAGACCTTTTTCAATAGTTCAGGGACATTTTTGACCCTTCCCTATATTTTCAATGAACAAATTAAGCTTAATATGGTCAATTTTATATTTAATTAATACTAAAAGATCAATTCTTTAATATGTACGAAAACACTCAAAAAATCAATTAAAGTGGGCCGGAGAAAGTACTATAGAAAATGAATCCTTAATTTTATAATGGGAAATTACCAGCTATGTCCATTTATAGGTAGCTCATTACAAAAATTGGCCAATTGATAAAATATTACTAATATTAGCCAAATTAGCCAATTAGCTATTTATAGCAAAAAATATCAAATTTTTGCTTTGTTTTGAGTGGGTGTTATTAGAATAGATTGGGCACAACTTAAGGAGCTTGAATTTCAGTTTTGAGATGATTTGGTGAAGTTTTGAGGTGGTTTGAATTGAAAATTCGAAATAAAAGCTGAACATGAAAAAAAAATGATATGTGTATCACATTGTGTATCATTTGTCTATCACATATGTATCATATTTGTATCAATTGTGTATCACATGTATATCCATGTATACCTGTGTGTGAGATACATGTTTGATACATATGTCGCAGAAGACTTTTTTGAACTCGATTTAATTATGAATTTTGATACAAGACCACTCCAAATCACCTCCAATCTTCCTCAAATTTTGTATATTGAGTTATCTATATATTTTCAATGAATTTCAACTATACCCATTGAAAAAGTTCATTTTTTGTTTAGATTTTTGGAATATTTGTATAGATTTTTGTATTTCATCACCTTATTTGCTACCTCGTCCATGAAATTTCTTTTCCGTCCTGTATCTAATGTTGCTAATCACACTTAAAAATATGGAAGGTGATTTTTGCATGTGATTCTTTGAGAGAAAGAACCCTATTATTTGGTTTTTCAATTTTTGTTGGCTAGTTTTGGTAAGTCTATGACTAATGGCTAGAGGTTGGTAAATTAAGATTTATTTGAGACATTTGTGTAAGTTTTCCTTTTATAATTTATATAGTGAGCGTGTTGAAAATCTTAAATGTAGAACCTAGTAAATTTAAATTTTTAATGTGACAACAAACCTTTGAAAAGACAGCATACTAACATTATGTTGATATAACTCACTTTCATTTGGTATCTTCTTATCTGTACGTAGCTCGTCCCTCGCTACATCTCCGTATAACCACCCAACTCCCCAAAAAATCTAACTCATCTCCTCCTTCCTAGTAATACTTTTATTTCTCTTTGAAAGGCAAAGAAACGGTTAAATAGAAACATTTGTCTCTTGAACTTTACTTCAGATTATACTGTCTAGTCTCGGTTTTGAGGAAGAAAAGGTCTCAGTTTGTTTTCAAAAAAGACAAGCAGCTTTGAATTAGGCATTATTTGTCTCTTCCCTTCCTTCTACTCTCAAAATAAACACAAAAAACATCCACCACTTATTTTCTATACTGCCCTCTTTCATTCCCCATCACAAAAGTACACACAACCAACATATTCGTCAGAGAAAGAATTGTTTGATCTTGTGATGACCATCTCCTTTAATTTATGGTTCCATTTCCAGTACTAGAATTGGCATTGTCAATCTTGCATAACAAGAACCATCATAGTTGTTTCAGTTCATATGTCCTACTTTTTTCTGCTGTAATACAAGAATCGGATTGGGACTATGGAATTCTTTTATCGTACAGAGCGGCTAATTCCTAGTATTCATTATGTTCCGCCAACTAAAAACGAAAGCAATTCATTTCATGGTTACTCCAAGGAAGCAAGTTTTGACGCCAACATGATAATTATCCTAGCAGCTCTGCTCTGTGCATTAATATGCGCACTTGGTCTAAATTCAATTATCAGGTGTGCCTTCAGATGTAGCCGCAGATTTTCTTTCGAGTCAGCAGATGCGCGGGCTGAACGCTTAGCTGCAACAGGGCTGAAGAAGAGCACGTTGAGGCGAATTCCGGTGGCTGTTTATGGATCAGGAGTTCATATTCTGGCCACGGATTGTCCAATTTGTCTTGGAGAATTTATGGATGGTGAGAAAGTGAGAGTCTTGCCTAGATGTCACCATGGGTTTCATGTTAGGTGCATAGACATTTGGTTGGCTTCACACTCTTCTTGCCCAACTTGTAGGCAATCATTGCTTGTACAACCTAAGACGACATCCTCTGATGACGCAGGGGATGTGGAAGCTGGATTGAGATAACATGGAACTGTACCAAGTGGACTTGCTGGTGTTGCTGAGTTCCATATGTATTTTATATTTGTTGACATTTTAGTGATTTTTTCCATATGTATTTGTAAAATTATGGGTTCAATTAAACTAATCAATCCATTTGGTCCATCAGCCGGGTTAGCTTATGCGCACCTCAACAATTTCGTCGAATACTTGCTACCTTCCACTAGCACATGTATTAGTATTTTGGCCTCCTTAAACGCATATGCTAGAGTAAGTAGTGGAGTTAGGAGTCTATTTTGTGTAGGCTGCTCATAGGCATTCCGATGATGTTACTTTAAATAGATAAAAGGACTTGATGTGAGATCAAATGAAATGAATCCTTGAACCTTATCAATTGTTGGAAAAGATAAAGGAGAAATAAAGATAAAAAAGAATATTTTTCTTTTCTTTTCCAAGTTTCATGGTCTCTGTTGATTTTATGGGGGTGGAATCAACCTTTTGTGCTAAAGACATGGAATCTGCTTCTCTCCTCTTCTTCCTTTTCCTCTTCTTCTTTCACTTTAACAGGGAAAATAGGTTCTCAATTAAGCAATCATTTCACTATTTCTTGATGTAGTGTAAGTGCAAAGCAAGGTATTGAGTGTACCTTTTGTTAACAATATTGCTGCGAAGAATTTATCGTGGCTAAAGCCTAAAGCAACAATATATACTTGATGCTTGGTATCCTATATGTACAACAAGCATCTTTACAAAGCCATGGAACAGAATCTTTTGGAGCCTTTTCCTGACATTGTTTGACTATTAAGAATAAAAGGATAGCAGTGTACTGCCTCCCATGACTCTGTTCATTTGGCGCAACGCATGGGGTTGGTAACTATGACAAAGTGATTCTTCTGATAAATTATTTGAGGAAAACCTTCTTATGGATACTGGTCAAAATATAAAGTTAGCAAAAACAAGCACCCCTAAATAAGAGATACAGATTTAAGGGAAAACAGTAGTTTCTTTACCAGTATATCCAGTTCAACTTGGGTGAATATCGACAAGAAAGTCCCCCGTAATGGTAAAATACAATCATAATACATGGCCGGTGAGATGGATGACTGTAATGATCGAGCCGATCGTTTTGTGTATTTAAGCCCTGTTCTCCTATTTGATGCTTCCCGTATGCTTATTTGTTGTGTTTGTGACTTGCGGGGTAGTTGGTTTGGTTTGGTTTCGGGAAGGTTTTAGAATGAATTGAAACACTTAGCTCCATGGTTCGAAGCTTAAGTTATAAGAGTTGACCAAGGTTTGACTTTTGTGTAAACGACCTTGGAATGGTATCTTGATGGTTCCACTAGGTTCGTATGGTGATTTTGGACTTAGATATGTCCGAATTTGGGTTTGGAGGTACCTAGGTTGATTTGGCTCTATTTGGCTAAAGTTGAAAAATTTGGAGGTACCTAGGATGTAGCAAATTTGAATGCGTGGGCTTAGATGTATGTCCGAAAGTTGATATTGATATTATCAGGCTCGAATTTTTGTTTCGGGACATGGAATAGGTCCATCATAGTATTTGAAACTGGTGTGCAAAGTTTGGTTGCATTCCTACTTGGTCTGATAGGAATCGGGCATTTGGTTGGATGCAAAAAGCTTATGAACTTAAGAGAAGTCCAATTAATGTTTGATCATCGATTCGTAGATGTGGTGATCTTACATGTCTTTGGAGGCTTTGGATAGGTCCGGTTAGTATTTACGGAGTTTTTGGTATGATTGGACTTGGATGGCTCGTGATTGGACAACCCGGAGCTTGGCTTGGATTGCTGATGACTGCTGGTATTTGGTTTGCTTTGCGATTGCAGAGCAGGTCTCGCAATTGTGAAGGCTTATTTTGAGTAGTAGTGTTTTGTTCTTCGAGTTTGCGAATAGGGCGTTGCGTTTGTGAATTGTTGGGGTCATTGGTCTTTGCCTTCGCGGTGAAGGCTCACGTTCGTGTAAGAGGAGAGGCTAGCTGGGAGCCGGCTGTGTTCAGCCTTTGCGTTCGCGACGATTGGGACGCGTTCGCATAGGTTTGGGTTGGAAGTGCATTGTGTTTGCTGGTATCTGATCGTTCGCAATGGGAATTTTAAGGCAGAAGCTAATTTGTGCTTTGCGAATGCGAGGCATGGGTTATGTTCGCGAATGGGATCACTGGGCAGACTTTTAAGAGTTCTAATTTCGGGACTTAGACCCATTATTTCATATTTTGAGCCCTACACTTGGAGAAGGACGATTTTTTAGGAGGATTTTCTCACAAGGCAAGAGGATAAGTAATTTCTACTTGATTTTAACATTATATCTCATTTCTCCATTGATTATTACACTTGACTATGATTTTTGAGAGAGAAAAATGAAGATTTGAGCCCCGATTCAGAGTCAAAATTGAATAAAACTTATATATTTGGACTTGTATTCGAATGTATAGTCGAGATTTATGATTTTTATCTGGTTCCGAAAAGCGAGCCTGAGTTGTCTTTTTGCAATTTGATTAAGATTGGAGATTTTTTATACATGGAATCGATTCCCCATAGCATTGTTTGGTGTTATTAACTTGTTATTGGAAAGATTAGAGATGTTTGAAGGCCGATTCCAGAGGCAGTGGCTTTTTGAAGTATTGATTCTTGCACTTTGAGGGAAGTATCTTTCCTAGGCTTGGCTTGAGGGTATTTTCCCCGTAGACTACGATACTTTCTATGTGTTGGGGGTGACGCATCTACGTGATGACGAGTGTACATGCGTACACTATGGTTATTTATGATCCAGGTAGACCTTAGGCTATTATATACCTTGTTTTGCTCTCATGCCTTTGTGTTACCATGCTTTCTCTACTTTTATGACTACTTGGGCCATTATTCATATTAGAAATCATGTCTAGGCTATGTGCTTATCCGTTTAGGACATGTTAGAGCTATTTTGCTATGTTAAGCTATTTGCCTTGATTGTAGTCATACTTTTCATTCATGATATTATATCCACGTGTTATTTCACCATTTTTAACTACTTCTTACATGTTATCTCACATGTTGTTGGTGTCCTTACTTATGTGACATGGGTATGAGTGCATTTGTGGTATGTTGGAATAATTTGGTGCGGTATATTGATTTCCGATACTCTGAGATGTTGATATATTAAGAATTTAGCGGATTAATGACTGAACTGGGACTATAGAGCCGTGTTAATATTGATATTGAGGTGACGCGTATGCAAGCCCCCTATTAAGTCGAGTGGTATTGTTATTAAGTGATGCGTAAGCTAGCCATTTGGGCTAAGTTATGATCGATGACTTTTGATTCGCTCAGCGATTGGGTTAGGATTCGTCCCTCCGGAGTCAGGTCATGTTACTTTGGTCCCTGTGAGCGCAGGCACTTTGTATATGCTGGGTAAGGGGCTTTATGCAAGCCACCCGTAAAGTGCTGGGATTGTACTTAATTGATGATTTAACTATGAATTCGGCGGTTTGGTATTAATACTTGTCATGCAGACATATAGACGTATCTTCCTCATTCTAATTGATATTTTATATCTTGAGTTTGATGGCTTAACTTATTTGGTTGGAAAGCATGCCTACTTCCCTATTTGTGTGAATAAGTTGACATTGTTATTCTTGAGCGGTTTCCCTTTGTTTTTATTGTTGTTGTTGTTGTTGTTTCCCTTTCATTATTATTATTATTATTATTATTATTATTATTATTATTATTATTATTATTATTATTATTATTATTATTATGTTGTTGTTGTTGTTGTTGTTGTTGTTGTTACTATTATTGTTATTATTATTATTATTATTATTATTATTATTATTATTATTATTATTATTATTATTATGTTGTTGTTGTTGTTGTTGTTGTTGTCGTTGTTGTTGTTATTATTATTATTGTTATTATTATTATTATTATTATCATTATTATTATGTTACTGTTATTGTTGGTTGTTGAAAGTGAGTAGCGGACTTGCCAATCTCGTCACTATCTTTAATCTGAGGTTAGGCTTACTACTTATAGAGTACATAGGATCGGTTGTACTCATACTACACTTTGCACTTTATGTGCATATCCAGTGTTGCTGATAGAGTTGACTTCAAGAGAGCCGTATTAGTACCTGTTGGAGATTTTAAGGTAGCCCTGTTGTTCCATTCTTAGGCATTGGAGTCCCTTTCCTTACTTTTGTTATTACTGTTCATCTACTTCAGATAATATTAAATCGTTATACAAACTGTTGTACTTATTTACTCTATAGAGCTCATATACTCGTGGACACCGGGTTCAGGGATGGTTTTGCAGTTGTATCGCTATTTGGCTAAAACTATTTATCCTATTCCTCTTTTGAGATTATATCAAACTTTATTGAATTTATCTATGTATACTGAATGTTGAATTGCCTAGCAAGCCTTGTTAGTCATGAGCAAGTGTATGAGAATCTTGTAGACCGGTATGAAGACGTATGTACTTATCTTCAAGAGGCTAGAAGGCTGTTAGAAAAACTTCTCTTTCTTTCAGTCTCTATCATGCGGATTTATTTATCCCTAAGAATGAATATTTGCTCTTCTATTCTCTCACAGATGGTGAGCACACAATTATTGAGTGCGGCTGAGCAGGAGCCAGTAGGCTAGGGCCGTGAGAGGCCGAGGTCGAGGCAGAGGTAGGGGCAGAACATGCGACGTAGCTCGAGCCCCTGCTTGAGAGGCGGTTGTGGAGCCACCAATAGCTCCTAATGAAGATCAGGTTCAGGTCTATGATGAGCTGGAGGTACCAGCTAAGGTTCCCAAGGCCTATTAGTTTCACTAGCCGTTCAGGATGCTTTGTTCCGTATGGTTGGGTTGTTCGAGATTTTTTCTCAGGCCGGGACATTTCCTACTATAACAGCTACTTCCTAGAGAGGGGGCGGAGCGCAGACTCCAGCTACCCATACCTTAGTGCAAGTGGCCCATGGTTATTAGACTCCTGCAGTGTTACCAGTTGGGGGAGTTCTACCAACTATTATGGCGCAAACTATGTTGCATCGTCCTCGCTTTAGTGGTACACTTTCAGAGGATGATTAGGGATTCTTATAGAGTTGTCATAAGATTCTGTACAATTTGATACTAGTTGAGTCTAATGGAGTTGACTTCACTGCCTTTCAGATGTAGGGTCCATCCAAGAGGTGGT